GGGACCGCAGCTCTTCCAGTCCTTCTCGTCCACGCTGGTGCTGATCGTCCTGGTCACGCTCATCTTCTGCCTCCTCGTGCTGTCCCTCTCTACCTTCCATCTCCACAAGCGCAGGATGAAGAAGCGGAAGATGCAGAGGGCTCAGGAGGAGTACGAGAGAGATCACTGCAGTGGCCGCCGCGCCAGTGGGCGGCTGCCCCGGCCGGGTGGGCAGACCCCCATCCAAGGGAAAGAAAACCGGCTGGAGAGACAGCCCCGAGACTCTGCCCCGTGCGCGCCCTCGAACGCCACCTCCGCGGGCCCTGGCCTGGCGGCCCCGGGGCCCTGCGCTGCGCCTCCACCTCCGCTTCCAACCCCCAGCCCGCAGGCGGCGCACGCAGCCTCCTCCTCCTCCTCCTGTTCGGACACCGCTGGCGAGGGCCTTTTACAAACGGTGGTACTGTCCTGATTGTCCCACCCCGCCTCTTCACCCCTTCCTCATCTCCGGCATCTTCACCATCCTCGCCTTCCCCCAGGCCTGCCTTCCTTCCGCCCTTCCTTCTCCATCCCCTCCCCCCTACCCCCAAATCTAGCCTCTCTGTCCTCCCCACCACCCCCGTGTCCTCCCTCGGACTCTTGTTTCTCCTCCGCCGAGGCACTGTGCGGTATTTGTAAATATTGGGTGAGGAAAGTCTCAGCAGAAGAAATAACGCTGACAATACTTTATTCATATTTATAGTAATTATAATACTAATAACACAATCCAAGCGCATGACAAATCACATAATTTCTCCTTGTCAACGAAGGATGCGTCTTTCCTCTCCACCCCGGGCCCCCCGCCCCCCTCAGTCAGGAGGAGAAACCGCACAAGCTACCAAAAACACGCAAGGCATCGATAACCCCGCGCAAAAGGGAGGGGAGGGGGCCCCGTGATGTACATAGCCGTCAAGTTAGGGTTCCGCTACCCTCCTGCCCCCCCCCGCCCCCAAGCTTCCACTTTTCCTTTGCCTTCTCTCCCTCCCCTTCTCTCACCCCAAGCTGGGCTCAGCCAATCGTCTACGATAAGAGAAATGCGGATGTGATTAAGCACCGGGACTGTGGAAGGCCACAGAAAAAGCCCCAGGAGAGAAAAACCCCAAACAAACAAAAGTTTAGGACAGGTCACCCCTTCCACCCTTCTCACAATGACCTTTTCCAAGATAGAAAAGTTTGATTTACTTTTAGACATGCCTCTCGCTGGCCGAGCGTCAAAGCCTTTAAATGCACTAAGAACAAAAGCAAAAGCTGTCTGCTCCCCCCTCTCCCTTCCCCTGCCCTCACCCCAAACCTCCCCCCCCCCGCCCCCTTAACACCTTTGACTTGTGGTGTTTGGAGAGATCCCGGAGCTGTCCACACAGCTCTGGTGCTGAAATGGCCTCACCTAATGCGTATTTCCTTCGTGCAGGTCAAGGAGGGGCTGCTAGGGAAAGCAATTCTTAACGGCTTTTGGTTGGTTTCTCTCTTCTTTTTCTCCAACCGAGTTAGCGCGTACTATTGTTTTTCTTATTTATTAAACGTTGCATAAGTTATCTTTTTGTAAAAAAAACACAAAACAAGACATAAAAACATATTAAGTGACGTGCAGTACTAAAGTATCTAACCAACCAGAATGTTTCTGTTTCAGTTTGAGAACAAGTGCACCTTTGTTGTATACTTATTATCTTGGTACCAAAAACAGAAGAAATTATAGTTCTGTTCGACATCCTCCAAGCTGTATATTCTTGTTGATGCTTTCCAGCTGTTGCTATAAAGGGTCCTGCTGGATGAGGAATTCGGTGTTGTGGGCTGGTCCTGCTGATTCTGCCCTTTTGTACCTTACTCTGTAGCTGACTGTTATAAAAAGATGACATGTATGTTTTCTTTTTTTTTTTACCTCTTGCGAATAACAGAAACAACCACCACGACAAAAAAAAATAATGGATGCGCTGGAATGCCATCTATTAAAACACGGTTAATATTTAAACAATGCCCGTAGTTCTACCTGCATGCACTTACCACCTGGAGGCAGTGTGTGCGTGCTTGCTTGTGCTGTCTGTGTTTGAGGAGGGACTGGTGGGGATGTTGGACAATTTGTATGACAGGACATGCAAATTTCAAGAGAAGTTAAAGCAGCCAGTACTTAATGGGATAAAAATGTTTATTACAAATCTGTGCCTGTATTTGAGATTCAGCAGAAAAGGGTCTCTCTTCCTCGTGAGTCTGGCTTAGCTGACATTACTGAATACATGAAAACAAATATGAAGGGAGAAAAGTGTAGGGGAAGATAAATATTTTATTCTTACTCTTAATGCCAGATAAGTCTATCTATATTAGGAATGGAGTCTTCCTCTGATTACTTCCCACTTTGTTTCCCTTGGGTAGATGGCAGAGAGTTCTAGAAGCATATTTATAATCTTAATTATAGGCACTGGCATCTCTTCTTGGAAACTTAATTTTGTGACAGCTATTCAAATGTTTGTAAAAAGTTTGAATGAGAACGATCTAGAAGAACTTTAACGGAAAGTCTTTATCATATTGCTGTGTGTAACACGGCCCCTGAGTACATCCCTCTCCAAGTAATGATGATGATATGGATTCCTGTCTTGGTTTCAGCCATAAGTGCAGTTGTCCAGAAAAAAAAAAGATGGCCCTTGGTGATTTTTTGTCACCTCAAGATCAGTTCCCATCTTTTATATTTATAAAAAAATCAGCTTAATTTTAACCACCCATTAGATACTCACCCAAGTCCTTTTCCTAAAGTACAGAAGACCATGGCTTAAGCATACATAACATGTTATAATATTAGAAAGACCAGGTCTGATCTTGGACACAATATATTAAACAATGAGCCAGGCTCTCTCCGGTGCCTTAGTCGCATCCTAGTAATAGGTAAAAGAGTGCATTAACTCCCGCACACCACTAAGGAATCCTTTAGTGCATAAGAGCTCGATATTATACATCAGGATGACTAAGGCACTGGGGAGGAGAAAGTCCATTAATTTTTGTAGCTTGCGCTCATCCAGCTGAAGCTCTTTAATACCTGCTTACAGAATCACTTTTGGACTTGAGCTTTGAATGGAATCAGGAACCCAAGAGGGAGCTTCCTCATTTCCAAATGAACTCTACTAAAGTGCATGGATATTACTTTCTTCCCTTTATCTGGTGCACTTTATTTTTACAGTGAATAATTTCCCATTTTATTAAAGCAATAAGATATTCTGTTGTGAGCAGTGCTAGATGATGATTCCATTTCCTTGGTGCTGAAGCTACTCATATGTTCTTGCCTTATGAATCATAGTACATTCAAGGCATGCAATAATATTTCCCTTCCAACAAGCAGTCCGTATACCCTAGTGGGTAATGTCCTATATAATTTTTCCCTGAAGGAATAGAACAAGAAAAGGAAATAAAATGATTTTTTGTTGTTAAAAAAATCTTGATACCTCTAAACATGGGCACACATCTGTAATCTATTGTTATTTTCTACCTGAATGTGTGTATGACTTTCTCCATTAACTGACTATCGTTTAAAATTCCTAATAGCATCTCGTATAAAGATGATGCATTTATATTCACTCTGAGTTCAAAACAGTCAGAACCCTAAGCTTCTGGTGGTGTCAAATAAAATCTAGTAGGACAGTTCCCATACCAAATTACTGAATAAGCACACATCCAAGCAATTTGTATAGACCTTGCTAAAAGCACGCCTTATGGAGCTCAGTTGACAGTCCCAGGAGTTTGGGATGCTACCCATAGGGCATTTTGATTTTTATTTCTATGAAACAAAAGGCAATATAGGAATAGCTTAATTTCTTTTAAGGATTTTATTCACTGATGTCCCGTCAAACAAATTACTCCAAACCCCTAATAGCTACAGCTCAACTTCTGCACTTGCTATTATCAATAAGGTGGCATGCTTGTTATTGTTTTTTTTTTAATGAGAAAATTGGGGAGAGAATGCCATTATGTTAACTCTATGGGCCTCTGAATCTTTAAGATGTAAATGGATATAATCTTTAGAATTTATATACACTCATAGATATGTATTTATATATGTATACCTTTTGTACAAATTTACAATGGACTTTTTGTATTCTCTTTTCTGACATTACAAGAATGAGATGGAAACCAAATAATTGTTCCATCCTCTTATCCAGGAAGGATACTTAAAAGTCAGGTATATGCATGCATTTATTTCTCTGGGGTCAAATTTGAATGACTCCCTCTTTATTTAATGAGAAGGGAGAGCTGTGGTTGGCTCGGGAAATTGGTAATTAGATAAGCTTCCTTTCCTATGTTAGTGACTCAAATGTAGCAATGATAATAAAGTTATGACCATATCAATGTGGTCAAACTATCTAGATGGAATGCAAAAATATGCAAAAGAGGATTAGGGTGATTGAGACCACACACAACCCTGGTTTGTGGCTTGAATTTTTATTTTGTGTGAGATACAACTTATATCTGCATAGCTACAGGTAAAAATGAAAATATTATAATTATTTGTTTAGTTTGATAAGTAGTTTTTGGGAAAATATAGACACATTAGCTTTAAAACAAACTTCTTTGGCATCTGGCTTTTCCACCATTTCTATCTGTATCAATTGAAGTTAAATAGATGATGGTTAAAATTTTATTTTTCCAGCGCGCAGAAGTAGGCTCTAAATGCTTTTCTGTGGAAGACAGCTGAGCAGTTGCTAATAGATATCACATGAAAGTTAGGGGCTAAATTAGAACCAGAAGGTTTTATCTAATATATCCAGGCTCCTGAAGTCCTTTCCCAGGTAAATCTAGCCTTTGAACTTGACTCTAAAAAGCCACCTACCCTTTTCTGTGGAACTAGCGATTGTGGCTTACAGATGTTTCAGTTCATGTGACAATAAATTGGCCCAGTGATGGAAGGGTATTTAATCATTGGACCCAATATAAACCTGATTATGATCTGTTGTTTAAAACTTATATGGCTTGACATAAATACTTATTAATGTCACCAACCTTATAATGCAGTTGATGTCATCTAGACATGCTTAGCTGAGAATAAGAATTTAATTAAGTCTTATCAAGGTTGTCTTACCTATTTGGGGCAGAAACTTTCCCTGAGGCATGTGACGACATTTGGTTGTTTCTACAGAGAAATTAACAAGAACAACAAGCAGCACCAACAGAACAACTCATTTTTGAACTTGAGTATATCCAACAGATAGAATAAAGAGATTAGAATTCATGGAAAAAATGTTTTGCTTTTCTATCAATAAAAGAGTTTTCTTGTTAAATTGGCCTTTGGGACAATATTTTCTTATTAATTTCATGTATAATAAAGCAGGATTACAAAATTACTCATCCTTACACTCTCAGATAAAATCTTCGAAAAGAAATTGACATTCTTTGTTGTTGTTGGTAGTGGTGATGATGGTGGTGGTGGTGGTGGTGGTTGGTAGTAGTGGTTGTGGG